GCCGAGCGGTTAATGTTAATGGCCGGCGGAAGGTCCGGCGGTTGTGTGGCCATTGGGCGTTCGTTTCGGTTTCGTTTGGATCGGACGGACAGCGCCGCGGGCACTCCGGCATAAATTAAAGCGCCGTTAAGCATAAGCTCGCCCAATTACCAAAGTATCCTTGGCCATTATATTTACGGATTTATTATTGTGTTGACTGCCATTCAGGGAAACTGCACCCACCGTCAAAGTAAAATAAAATGGAGGAGTGGGTGGCGTGCATGCATGCAGGGATGTCTTATCAGCCCTTTGTCATTTGTCATGTTAATTTAATGATTTTTCCCTTACTGCCTGTCTGTCTTTGGCCACCCACCGTTTCGGTACGGGATTTTATACCTACACCCAGAAAAATTGAGAACGAAAAAAATCAACATCGACCGATCTTGATTTTAGTATTCGTATTCTCACTTTTTTCTTCTTGATATCAAGATGAAAGCAGTGTTGATTCTAGTATTCCCAGTCAAAGTCAATCTCAGTTTTTATGTTGTGGAAGAGGGACGTGAGGAAAAGACATCGAAAAAATGAGAGGAAAAGGGCCGAATTCCTCTCTTGTAGCTATCGGGCAGTCATGCTTCTTGATATCGGTAGCCTAGGGGACTAAAGCGTGCGGATTATATGTTTTGTAAGCGTATAGTCGGAAGTGTGTGTTCAGTCCCGCGTCGAGGCGGAAATTCTTTGCGTTTTTTTTTTTTACTCATTAATATTAATATTAGGATTTTGTTAATCTAACACAAATAATGGCTTAATAAGAGTAAAAACCAAGAACCCAAGAGAACAAAATGTGATTGAACTTTGTACAGCGCCTCATGTGATGCTTCCATGGCGCAGCTGGTAGAGTGTTTGACTGCAAACTGTGAGGCAACGGGTTCGATTCCCACGACCGACCAAAGGTGTTTTTCCCAAGATAGTAAGTTATTTGAATTTTATATTTATCATTTGTTAATTATATAATAATTTCAGTTATTGTTTCAGTTAAAATTTGAAACTAAATGTGTTCTTATATACGAACATAGTATAGGGTAACGTCATCCATGTGTTTAAATAAAGGAAAGAAAAATAAGTTGTGAAACGGGGGGAACCAACAACAACACCGACGGGGACAGGAGGGGGTGCAAGAGGCAAAATTCCCGATTCCTCAATTATTTTTTTTTCTTCTTCTTATTCAATTTGTATCTTAAAATCGACATCGATTCGATGTTGAAACCGAGAAGACGTCATCTCGATATCGATAGCACACATACTCAAAAACCATTCTCAAAACCGAGATGACATCGATGTTGATTTTAGTATTTTCGATCTCGGCTAGGTTTTGTGATCGAAAATACTAAAATCAACATCGATGAGAACGGTTTTTTTTCTCGGTGTAACCACCTCACAGTGCTGCTCTTGGCCATATTTCTAGTGTTCTTCAAGACTTAAATATAAATATTTTAGTTTTAAATATTATACAAAAAAGAAATTACCTAGATATATAATTTATTTTACTGAAAAAGTATTTCAATATATTTTGTTGATCCTAGAAGGGTCAGATATTCTTTATATATAAAGCTAGCATGGATTAACCTTTACCATTGAGCAGCACTGTTGGCAGTCGATATGTATACTATGAGTATAATTTATGCTTTAGGTGCGTGCCTTTGTGCCCTTAAACAAATACATGTAATCATCAGGGTTGTCAACTCGTCTGACGTTAAAGTAAAAATAACATTAAAGCTTTTATTTAGCTTAAGACTAGGTAAAATAAACTCCGATCTGGAGTTTACCAATTTAAAAAAATTTTATAATTGTGCCTTAGAACTGTTTTTAATGCTAATTCGTTCAAGCGCAAAATTAAAGAAAAATCGTAAAGAAATAAATGGATAACAGGCGAGACTTTTATTGTTTTCGAAGGCCGGGAAAAGCGTAAAAAAAGCATGTTACTAATTTAGATTCCAGATGCTTTGCTGCCTCATACCATCATTTTGCCAGCGCAATTCTGGCTCAAACTGAACGAGCATCTTCTGCCTCGGTGTGTTCGTTTAATTAATGCGAAATCTAATTGAAAAACTGATACTCCGGCTGCTGGCTGCCACATTTGTGCGTGTACGCGTACGAGTATCTACAGTGTTAATTGAAATTTAATCTAGCCAACACGAACGGAGACGAAGACGGTACTGCGATGTGATGAGACTGAGAATAGCAATGGAAATGGGACTGGGAATGGGAATGCACATGGGGAAAATATTATTTTAATTGGCAGTCAAACTAAATTTGAAAAACAAGTGTTAAATTATTATATTTCATTATTTTTTTTAATTATGTTATTATTATTTATTTTATTTTATCATTATCTATTAAATATTTAATAATTTTTAGTTTTTTTTTCACTGTGCAAAAATGGGAATGCGAACAGGCAGCAGCACGGGATGTATTTATCGGCAGCGTCAACGGCGGCACAGATTAGAAACATTTTGTGCGACTAAATAGCCCGAGTATCTCATGGATACGGATGCGGAGAGTCGCAGTTTTCCCTTCTCTGGCTTTTTCCCAGCCCAGTCGAGAACTTTTCTCTGCCGCCTGCTGATTGGAGCCCATCCGCACTCGAACTCCACTTACCTGTCTGCTTTTTGGCCCGGTCCAGTCTCCACCGACCGGGTCAGTTGTATTTGCTGTGCAATTGGCGATTGGCGTTTCACGTTGTCGCCGTCGAAGTCCTGTTTGCCAGTGTGTCTATTCCACACTCGAAAGAAATGGATAAATAAATTAATAAGAAATATATTTATTTAAACAAATAAGGAAGAAAAGTTATCAAGACTAAGAGTTTTTAGACGAAAATATATTAATATAAATTGAGATCATTTTAGCTTTATAATATTACATTACTCGTATATTTTATTTTCAATATTTTATATTGTTACATTCTATTATAAATAAAGTCCAGTTTGAGTTGACTAAAATATAAATAAATTTTTTTATATTTTTACTTTTAATTAGTAATTTTTCCGACTACACTCCAATAGACCCAATCCCAATCTTAGTCGACGGCTCTGTCTCCGTTGTCGGCTTTTCTTTAATTTATTTTGTCTCCTCATGCAACTTGGCTGCAATCGAAGCCAGCTCAAACTCACAGTCGAAGGCTAACAATGTCGGCTTGTTGCATTTCTTTAATTTATTTGAGCTGCGATTCATTTGCAGCACTCTGAGCGCTTTCGCATGTCTAGCGTTTTTGTGACCAAAGCTGCCATATTGGGTTGCACTTTACTAGAACAATCGATCAGCAGTTCGCACAGCTAAATGTTCCCTCGGTTCATTTACCCTGACCACAATCACCGATTTATGCAAAGTCACTTTTGCCGCCAATTAAAACCTTTTTGAAAGTGAATCAATAGAAGTAACTAATAATTGCAAACTTTCAAGAATAAAAGGAGAAAGAAGTTAAAAGAATAAAGGAAATAAAATTGTTATACCTACCTATTAATCAAAAATTTTAAAAAGGGAAATAATAAAAAATTTGTCTTTTAATAAATTAGAAAATAAGACTAAATACCCGTATTTATTTTCCCCTATCACACGTCTTCAGCGGATTAGTGGTTATATATATCTTTTCCATTGGGAAGTCAACTCCTGACATTGTCCTTCACTGTTTCCAAAGTAGCAGCCACGATTTTGCTATCTTCCGCATAGCCAAAAACTAAATCAATCGGAGGATTATATAATATAGCTGCAACGAAAACTAAAACCACTCCGTTGAAATGGCTGCTTACGTGACCAGGCGAATGCAATGTCTACAGCAAAAGGAAAAACAAAAAGTATCAGATGCCCTCCCCTTGGTTTTCCTACCCCTTTACCTGCCATTTTCCTCCGTCGAACTGCCACGAACTGTTGAGCAGTCGAATCTTATTTGATTATAACGCCGAACGCCGAGTTCGCTGGCCGTTCATGAACTACAAAAGCCGCTGGCTGCGTTTCGCTTAGCGTTGCACAGCACTGAGGAAAATTATTTAAAAATAAAAAAAGCTTTGAAGCATTGTTTCCACAAAAGTAAAATTATCTAAATTTAAAACACAAGCAAAGTAAAAATGGTTAATTTGTTGAGTGCTCTTTGGAACCGTTTATCTTCCTAATATTTCACTTTTTATTATCATTGGAAATATATAAATACTTATTTAAGATAGTTTAATGAGTTATATTTTCTTTGGAACAAATGAACATTGTTTTTGTTTCTGTGCATCATGGCCTCGATGCGGTTGTTGGCTCTTGCTACCGCACTCACACCTTAGCACTCGCCTCGAAGTATCTTTCGGATGCAAAGGCGAAACGCACTGCGCCGAAAACGTGTGCGTTTTGCATTGCATCAGAAGTTGTTTTTTAGGAATAGACGACTTAGCGACTCCCTAAGACCGAAATAATAAATATAAAATTGTCAAATGTATGTCTTCTGGTATTACAATTTTTTAAAGAATTCAAAACTATTTAAAGAAATTGATTTTTACTGTAAAGTCAAATTTTGTTCTTCCTTATATGTTTGATTTAAATATTATTGTTATTATACTTTACTTTTCGAAATGCCAACTTAATTCTGTTAACCTGAAGACTCAAACTGGCAATTTGAAGGCAGCGGCATCGTTCGACGGCCTAGAAGTTTTGCTCGCCAAACAGAAAAAATTGTTTAAAAATGCTATAAAAAAGCAAACACAAAACATGCTTTACAGCAATGCAATTTGGTGCTTGTTTGCTTTGCATTTTTTCTTCTAGTTTTTGTTTTGATAAATGGGTGCAGTACTTTTATTTATGCATCTTGTGTGTGTCTCACGCTAAAATAATTATCTGCATTGCATTTCGGAGAGACACATAATTTAAAATTTGCAGGCAGGTCTGCAAAAAAGATTTAGGATTGTAACCTTTGCCGGAATCGTTGTTGATTGCTTTTTTAAATGAGAACATTATAGATTAAAGTGCAAATAAGCAGTTTGAACAATAACTATTTTTAATTTGTTTCTTTACTTAAGGCTAGACCCAAACATAATTTTATAAATTATTCATTTCTCTTCAGAATGAAGCCATAAAATCCATAACAAGTTACTACGAATGAACACAAGAAATTACATTTTGAAACGTTGCCAAAGGAGAAAGATTGAGATGAGGGGTTACCGGTACACACACGATATTAACTTTATGATTTGGCTCCGTTCTGCATTATCAGCAGGCGCAGGCTTTTGCATCCCGAGGCTTGGATGCTCTCCATGGCTTCCTGGAGTACCAGAGACTCCTTTTCCCTGCTGAGTGACCGCTGCTCCCTCTTCAACTCACTGGCCAGGCAATCCTGCAGATCATCGCGATTGAAGAAGCGAAAGTTCACGATGGTCGTCTCCGCCGGAAGTTCCTGGAGCAACTCGAACTGCTCCCAGTACTGATGCGAATCCAGATTGAAAACGTAGACGACCAGGACCGTTTGATTCCGCTTCGGATCGCCCTCGCGGTCCAGTATCAGTCGATTGTAGATGGGCACCAGTCCGTGGTCGCAGGTCGCCAGGTTGTCGATGATCAGCAGATTCACCCCGCAATCGGACAGGCCGTCGACGAACTGCCTCACCAGTCGGAACTTGTTCGCCTCATCGGGCACTTGGGTGCTCCAGGAGTACGAGTGGGCATTTTCCGGCCAGGGAAATGCGTGTCGCAGGGCATTGGCCGCCAGCGTTTTTCCCACTCCCGGCGGTCCCAGCAGAGCCACCGATCGGAAAAGCCCCGAGCCGCCCAACGCCCTTTCCATGCGGGCCAACGCCTGCTCCTGGTTAAGGACCACCCTGCCCATGTGCCGAAAGATCCGTCGCAAATCCAGAGCCTGCGGACTGCAGAACCCGTCCTGTGTTGGGTTAAATTTAGTTTTAAATAATTTAGGATTTTTTAATTTTTACGAAATACTTAGTTAGGCTATATAATCTAAGCAATTCAATCGATATTTGGTAAGTATTTAATTTTAGTTAAATTTTGGTGAGCTTTACCTCGAGCTCAAATCAAATCAATTAGATACTTAAGGCATGCTAACAGTAAACAAGAAGAAATTGCATGGAAAATGTATTATTTAACTCAAATTTGTTTAAATAATTAAATTTAGAACTGTTCAACTAAGAACAATATAATAATCCATTTCTAGCAATGTTCTTAAAATATTTCTTACATTTTGTTGCCCATACGATTCTCCTGCCAGATTATCATCCTGCTCCAATCCCATCAGTCTAAGGGCGCCCATCCAGAGGCCTTCCTCTTGAGGTGTGGGCAAATCCATCTGCTCGCTGGACATCTTCACGCCGAGTAAGAGCATCAGGACAATGACTACGACCACCGTCGCCAGGATGGCAAGTCCTTGCAGGAGCTGCGACTGGCGGCTGGAGCGAAGTCGCTCGCGATATCGCCGGCAGCTGGTGCTCCGCAGGATGCCCCGTTGTCGGGGATCCTCCTCCTCCTCCGAAAAGTCACCGGCATGGTGGTGACCCAGATCGAGGTTCCGACGAAGGAAAATCCGCCGGCGGTACGTTTGGCCACTGGGGTCAAAGTGCGGCATTACTGTAGGGTTTTACCTCTGTGGCTATCACTTTTTTAATTTTATTATATTTTTCTCGAACGGGGTTTGTCTGCAGCTTCTGAATTTGTTTGAGACTTGTGCTTCATGCTTGTGTAATGATTTTCATACTATTTATCGTTTTGATTGGTTAGTCAAAACAGAAAGAAATTAATAATATTTATACTATTTGTTTTAAAATCTAACTAACATTTTATTTTCTAATATTATTCTGCCTTATATCCCAACCATCGCAGACCAAAGAATCCAAAGAAATTAATAATATTTATCCTATTTGTTTTAATATCTAACTAACATTTTATTTTCTAATATTATTCTGCCTTATATCCCAACCATCGCAGACCAAAGAATCCAAAGCAAACCCGGTGGACTGAAAGCGCTTACTCATCATTATCGGACATTGGCAATCAGCTGATTTGGAGCGGCAGACACGATCATTACCATTACGCTGGCGATTAACCCCGCTCTGAAACTCAAACTCAAACTACAGCCGGCAACTGGGCCATCGCTGTTCGCTTCGAAGGCAGCTGGAAGATCTAGCGATCATGGTTACCAAACAAAACCCAACTGAACCGAACTGAACCGAGCCAAAGTAAGCCAAGCAGACCGACCAGACCAAGTCGAGAAGACAAGACAGCCAAAGACAAGACAAAGCTGGGGACAGACAGGCAAACAGCCAACAGCTAGCTAGCTATTTTGGTACTTGGCAACAAACATGGCTCAAAACGTACGAGACACTTCAGTAAGCATTCGTATACCGGCAATAGGCAAAAATTGAGGGAACCGTCGATGAAAACAGTTATCTTGGTATACCCTAGTATTATAAAAAAATTCCTATATATAATTGTTCGATATAAATCGATCTTATTTTAAAGTTTTAAGGCATTACGGTCTTAAGCGATCCTAAAATGCTTAAAAAAAATAATTCGCATTATAAGTGGATATTACAAAAAATTATTTTATTTAGTTTACAAGAAATATTTTTATCTATTTTTTCTATTGATTTCTTAGATTTGAGGGTATTAAAATATTCGGCATTCATTCGAATAACTCCAACAGACATGTAAAAACTCAGTGCCGTAACGGTTTATGAAAATCAAGTTGGGCGACTTGCAAAAGTGTCTTCATAAATCAGTCAACGCTCCGGGTACGAGCGTCAGCTGTCAGGCGGAGATCACTTAGAGCTCTGGGGCTGGAGTTTTTGAGTTTTGGGGCTGCGGTTCGCTTGGGTTCACCGGTAATTACTCCACCCCTCCCCCACCCACTCGATGCCCCTCAATCGCAGTTTGGGTGCCATTATGCTCTCTACATGACATGACACAGGGGGAAAGCTTTTGGGCAGGGTAAGAGTTAGTTGGCCCTGGAAACCGACTTTTACCGCCTCCCAGTGATGGCGAAACTCTAGCACAGCTAGGCTAATATATCTAGACAATTTAACTTTTTTAAATAGTATAATGGTTAAAGTACATATGAAGAATAGGCTGTAGTGCAATGTCCAAAACTAAATTTATTAAATAAATAAAGTATAAAATCTATACACATACATTGCATATTTTTAATAAAAGTAGAATAAAATAAAAACAAGATGACACAAAAATTAAAATTTTTTTTTTATATACTCTATTTTTCAACTTTAAAGAAGCCGAATTGCCAACTCGACTGCGAACAGATAAAGAGACATTCAGATGGGTTCGGGTCTTGCCATATGATTTTGACAGCCCATCTACAAGTTGAAGTTGAGGTTGAAGTTGGGCTTTGGCTTTGGCCTGGTCTGGTTCGTCAGTCAGCTGCTGAGTCAGCTGTTATAATTGTTGGCAAAGCGGAGAAGTTTTTTGCCAGTGAAACGCTTATGGAAAATTTCCAACCTCAATCGGCATTAGACAGCGTTATATTGTGGTTAAGCCATAAATTAAGCAGCCCATTTTTTAGGTACTCTCTGCCTCTCTGCCGTTTATTAAATATTTTTAGCAAAAGTAGCTCACTAGTTAGATTAAACTGATTATATTATCCTAGTATCTAAATGAGATTCAATATAATTTCATTTATTGTTTTTATTTCTTTTTATTTACATACTAAGGTTTTCTATTGCCTTTTCCAAAGGTCTTTCTTATGGCCCCTTCTATTAAACAACAATTGAAAACTCTCTAACTCAGAATCAGAAAACGTGACGATAATGTACTTCTTGCAAACCAGCAAGTCATCCAAACTTTTCCATCAGTTTCCAATCAGTTGGATTTCTTAAAAAGATATTTGGTTGCTTTTACGAAAATAATTACTTTTAAAACTTCAACAGATATTAAGACATTTGCATTTCAATTTTATAAATCGTAAGTATAGAAGTAATATTTTATTACAATGTAAAAAAACAATATATTTTTATTATAATAATAAAAGGCAAGTGGTAGAAGGAAAAAGTAATATTATTAGGCACATTTATTGAATTAAAGTAAAAGCAAAAAGTAACTCTGTCCAACCTGTTAGTTTTTACGATGGACAAATCATAATAATATTAATCCGCTTCAGTCACCGTTTTTAATTGTCTATTTTGTCTAGTTTTGAAGACTAGCAAACATATTCATGGGACATTTCGCTAAGAGATGCAGATCTGCGGACTGTTGGCTATTGTGCCGAACCAAAAACAAAGCAAAGAGCTGAAAATTGCAGGCGAAGAGGCCAAAACTGGCCAAACTGGTTGTCGGAGGTTGTTTTTTGTGCGAGGCCCACTACTGGAGTTACACACACTCAATTCCGCCCGTACCCCTGGCCCGGCTTTTATTTTTTATTTTTTTAACGCCCGTCCGTTGCGTTGTTTACGTTTAGCTTGGATTTCTCCATTCCACGCTGGTTTGTTTTGATTTTAAAAAAGGTTGGGCTAGAAAAACTGGATGCCCTGTTTGGTTGTTCTTGGGCTTAAAGTATTTGGTGATTGTTTTTGTTGCGCCTCCTATTTTCCATCTCGCCCCTCGTCCCTCGCCCCACGATGTCTTTATCTGCCATGGTTTATTATTTCAAGTAGTACCGCCGGACTTGTTTGTTCCTCCAGCTCTTTGTCCCACAAAGCAGAGCGAATTCTCCTTGGCTCGCTGGGAAGAAGCTTGGCTGCGGAGAAGCCCATGAATCCGCCGCTCGTCTGCCTGCGTAATGAGTTTCCAGGGCCCTTCAAACACTGCCCCATTCGAAACCCTTTCGCCTAATTGAAATTCATGGCAAGTTAATCCCCGCCAGCGGAAAAAGCACCTTCGAGTGTTGTTCATTTGCTATTTGTTTGGGCATTTTTGGCCTCTTTTCACTTTTAAATTAAAGCAGAATTAAAAAACGTAGGTATACGTTTTTTACTATTTACGTAGAAGTGATATATTTCAAATGGTAATAATAAAATATTTCTTAAGATGTACATTATATGGGTGCTTTAAGTTGATGGTATTTATGGTATGCCATGAGTATTCTATACTCGTGTGAATCGAATTTTGGTGTTCTTGTAATGAATATCACTAAATGGGGTACGAACAACGATCTTGTAGAACGATGCAGTCAAGTGCTTACCATATTGCCTGTGGAACCGAAATATTGGGGTCTTTGGGGAGGCTGTAATTGTGCTTAGGGGAGATTAGCTCCCCTTCAAACACTTGTTGGTTTCGAAAAATATCTCGATGGGGAGAAAGCGGAGAATGGATAGCTAAAATCAAGTTGAAGGCATTGAATAAAACATTTTTAATGTGTTCCCCATTATAAAGAGTACACTTAGAATACAAATGGAGCCAGTAGGAAATCATCGAAAATATTTTATATTGGTAATAATTTCTCTAAATATTTTGTAAACCACTTTTAATTAAGATGAGAATTTTTTAACATATTTAAGTAACACTCATTAAAATGCATACAAATCTCCTTTTTTTGTAGTGGACATGCTTTATATTATATAGTTTCCATGAGCATTGCTGCTTAATTTAAGTCACAATGTTTTATAGAATCTATCATACAGACCCTCTGCCCAATAAAACAGAAGTAACATCAAACTCCCGGACAGAATCAAATCCAAATGTAATGTGTTCCCAGCTGCCTCATCCACGAGGGATGTGGAAATAATTGTGCCATAAGTGAATAAGTAAAAACATGTGGAACGCAGATCGGGAGCCAAAGATCAGCTGCTGCATTCGACATCCAGATGTAAATAAGAGAGTCTCCTCTAAACCGACGTTTTTATACCCTTCACAGGTCGACAGGACCTCATTAATCATTTTTACAACTATTCAAAGTTAAATTTACCCTCTTCTGTTGGTGTAAGAAATGGAACTTTGAGTTCTTGGACCTCAGATTCACTGAGATTCGTGGCTGCTGCCACTGAACCATTTCGTTTTTCCAGCCTTGGTTTTGTGTGAACTTATTAGCATAATGAGTAGAAATATTGCCCGAGCAGCACTCGCTTCGCTCTGGTTTATTTGACAACTTTTCCTAGTGCTCGCCCGACTGCCTGCGCTGGCCATTTGGCCTTATGTCCCTTTCATCTCCTTGCTCATTATGTTAATAAGCGAAAAGAAAAATGCTGTCGCCGCTGGGCGAGCTCTTTTGGAGCCTGCAATGCCCAAGTGTCCTGACGGGACGATGGGACAATATCCACCGATGGCCCCATAAAGTTCACTCTCGGCGAAAAATGTCGATTTGTTTTAATGCCACCCGGAACTAAGCGGACGGAAAGTGGGATGTTCGGGTGCTCGAAGGCTAGAATGCCGGGATGTCGGTCATCAAGCAAGTATTACTTGCCGATGGCAACCGAGAAAGGGTGTAATGACCACCGGAGATGACGAACAGCTTGGCCATACAAATGAACATAATTATTTGGAGAGAGACCCCTGAAGGTCGCATTTGTTTTTGGGGGGAAGCAAAATGGCAGTACTTATATAAATTACACTCCTTGTTCTTAAACTTTAAAGGAACGAGAGATTTTGGAGTTAGAAGCAACAAAATACTTTGATTTTTTCTCTAGTCTATGTGGATTTTTTCAAAAATTAAATCTAATGGGTACACTTTAATGTAAAATTTGGATGTAATGACCATTTAAATCTATTTTTAAAATAAAAAATAATT